ACTGCCATAGATTTTGTTCCTTGGCTTTGTTGGCCAGTCAGTATGCATAGCTTCTATTCAAGTTATGCAGTGACTGGTAAAAACAGCTGGCAGTTTGAAATGCCAGCCCTGTCCCCCATGTCACTATCAACAATCAGGCTTTACCTGGCAGCGTTCTTCCTTTTTCTGCCTCATACAGTAGCATTATGCTTCAACATATGAATTCTTGAAACAGTTGACACCAGAGCTCTCCAATGATTCTCAGAGTATCAGCCACAGCTGGGAGCCCCACAGTCAAAAGCAGACAGAAGCCACTGCTCTTGTGAGAAAGGCACAAAGTTCAACTGGAGAGCAGCGCTGGAGGGGAATGCAGGACAGTGGGCAGTGAGTGGGAAGCAGATCTCAGTGGGAAGCAGGGGAGCAGGGGTCTGGAAGGAGCAGCAGCCGGAGCAGCTACCAGGAGGCAGAGCTAGTACCCTCAGTAGTACTTCTTTTAAGGCCATTGCAAATTAATACACATTCTAACCTCAGAACAATGCTTACTATGCAAATACAGCATCCTCGTCTAACCACACTCTTCATCTGGGATATCTTCTGTCTTGTTCTTAAAATGGTGGGACTGTATGTTGGGAGATTCAAGGATCAGGGGCCCTGCAGGAAGAATCTTGAGAAGCAAATCTGGTTGTTCAAGCTCCTTTAGAATTTTCCCATGTGATTATATCCTAGTCAGGCACTAAGCCCAGAATGGAGTCCTAGACACAGCCCAGTGGAAGTCCCATGCTTTCCTCCCTGTGGCTAATGGCCCATAGAGCAGGGTTTGATTCCTGAAATGGACTTGGGTATTTGTGAGCTGAGACACATCAAATGCCCAACACACCCAGACCCTGAAAGCCAAGCTTGCAATCCATGGAAGTTTTAAGAGGAGTAACTACTTATTACTGTCAGCAATGGCAAGGGAACTTGGATTTACAGTATTGGCACATCACCCACACACAGACAGTGAGTGTGTATGGACAGTGGCCTAGCACTGTGAGCAAGTACAGGTTTGTTTCTCTTCCATCAACTCTGCCTTTCTCAATTCAACTCATTCCATGTTGTCAGAATGTATGTATGTATGTATGTATGTATGTATGTATGTATGTACCAGGCCGAGAAAGCATCCCTTCACGTGGGATGGGTTCTCAAAGTCCCTTCTTACACCAGGGAAAAATACTAATCCACTACCAGGGGCCCCATAGAGTGCTGAGGCCTCCTCATTGACATCCATGTTCAGGGGTCTGGATCAGTCAGTCCTGTACTGGCCTCCCAGACAGCAGTCTGGGGTCCATGTGCTCCCCCTTGTTCAGGCCAGCTATTTCTGTGGGTTTCACCGGCCTGGTCCCAACCCCTTTGATCTTCATTCCTCCCTCTCTGCAACTGGATTTCAGAGTTCAGTTCAGTGTATAGCTGTGGGTGTTTGCGTCTGCTTCCATCAGCCACCGGATGAGGGCTCTCAGGAGAGGTGGGGCGGCCCAGAATGTATTTTAAATGCAAATTTGATCCTCTCTTCCTGATCAAATTTTTACCTAGAGAGTAAAATTTCATCTTCCTGGGTTCTTAAAATATGCTTAATTTTATAATTTGTTTCAATTTAGCCACTGCTAATCATTCTTACCATCCAACAGCAAATGTGAGTGTGCATGCACGCGCGCGCGAACAAACACACACACACACACACACACACACACACACACACACACTGATACACCAGAAACAACAAACTCATAACTTATCAAAATAGTCTATTCCCTCAACTTGTAAAATACTTCCATTAGCTCTGCCCACTTGCTTCCTAAAAATACCTGTACTTTATTTCCAAAACTAAGTCAGATGTAATACTCTATGGGGATGTTTCTTAAAGTTAGTGTGTGTTATCACTGCCTGGATCTTGTTGAAATGAAGATCTTTTCAACAGTTGAAGATGAAGCCTTAGACTCTGCTCATGACCTGGCAATGTTGCTGGGCCTCAGTGGACAGTTGAGAAACGAGGCGCCAGGAAATCTCCCCCAGGTCACCCTCTTCCAGACCAATTTTATCACCTTTTCCCTAGTTTTCTTTGACAGACAACACTTCCATTGTTGTGTTAATTGCTGTATTCTAATCTTACTTGATTCTGTCCCTGACTTCTCAGCTAGGAGTTTCTAGACTTCTTGGTTTCTGTGAGCATCTGTACCCTGTGTTGAAAAAACTTGATAATGTGTTGGGTGCATGTGACACACCACTGATGGTTTGGTAGTTTTTACTTGTGAAAATCAAAACTGTTAGGTCTCAAACAAATGGCCAACTGAGGTGCCTATTTAATATAACAAAGAGTACCTGGTCACCAGGTTCTCCAGGCATCCCTCAGTCTCTACCTGTTACAGAATATGGCTGGGATATTTTTCCCCCTACCCTAAACTTCTCCAGTCCAGGGGTTGGGATGCCAAAAAAACTGAGGTGTCAGTGATTTGGAACTCAATCCACAGACTCTACATTTGTAAAACATATAGCTTTATTTTTTGCCATACGCAGCTGTTGACTTGTGGCCTCTACAGAGGATAAGAAATAAAAGCAGTAGGGTTTTTTTTTTTTTTTTTTTGGATTTTTTTTTTTTTTGACAGGATTTCTCTGTGTAGCTTTGTAGACCAGGCTGGCTTTGAACTCACAGAGATCGGCCTGCCTCTGCCTCCCAAGTGCTGGGATTAAAGGCGTGTGCAACCACTGCCAGGCTATATATGCAGTATTTTTATCTTGAACATGAGCAATAAATACTCTCAATCCAGGCATAAATACATAGTCCCAAACATTACAAATTGCAAGACCTACAAAGTACAACTGGAACCCAAACTTTGCATCCCGGGATTCTCTGTGAATACAGAGCACCATTTGCAACAACGTAAGAAAGAAACCAGCCAACGAGAATCCCATCTTCCAATGCAGGACCCTGGAGAGGTGCACACAGGTCTGCCAGAGACTCCTTGGATCTGAAGTTAAAGAAGACAATATCACAATATGGAGGCCAGTCTTCCAAACCATACCCCAGACATCTCTCAGTGCCAGTATTTTTCTTCTAAGTTGAATGTCCCAGAAACTGTCTCTAAATTAAAGGTTCCAAAAAGAGAATGTACAGTAAGTAGGCTGAGAAGTAAACAAGGATGATTGTGGGCAAGTTGAGGAAAACACTTTTCTGAATGACAGAGTTCTATCTGGACCCCATAATTATAGCTGGAAGTGATGCATTTGAGTCTCAAGCCAGCCAGAATACCATGTGACTTAGGAAGAGGGATCCACAACTCTGTTCATTTCTCTGGAAGCTTTTTTTGAACACCTTAGGAGAATCAAGTGTGCCTGGCATCAGGGAATAGTCCTCCTCTCAAGGGATCCAGCTGGAGGCTGAAGGGATAATTACAGGAAACACTCGGCAGGAGACTGATTGAAATCCCCTTTGAAGCTCTTCTATGAATGGCCTCAGGCAATGTGACTCTGGTAGGTTGGGAGAATGAAAGGGTTAATTCTGGATGGCTTTGAAGTTGTGAACTCAGATTCAGGTGAGGGTAAAGATGAAGAAAGACAATAGCCTATTTCAATTTGGAGGGTTCCACTGCGCCCCCTAGTGGTCTATGCAGGAGCAACAGCACTAGGTGGCGCTGCACTGCTTAGGGGCTGACTAATATTAGTCTGCTCAGCAATCCAATCTCAGTAGGAGGCAGTGTTGAAAAGAAACTAGGCTGCTCTGGAGTTATATTTGGGTGGTATTTCAATCTCTGTCCTTCCCAGTTCTGTCACTCCGGGCAGCTGTCTGGCTTTTGAAAACACTGAGTTCCACTGTGTCATCCGGTTGGTATGAACTGTGATTCTCCAGGAACAGCTTGTAGCTCAGGATATATGCATGTAACCTGTGTAAGTGCCAATCAACAGTAGACATCATACCCATTTTTGAAAGCACTTCCCAGTGCTCGATTCTATTTCCTTCCAGATAGTCTGAACAAGGAGAAAAAAAATCCTCCTCCTTTTGCTAGATCTTGAGAGCCTTGAAGTCTCAACCTGAAAACTGCTGAACTCCTAAGGCCTAAGAGAACCTCAAAGTCTCAAGGCCACAGGGACCATCACAGTGCTGCCCTCTTTTGGTTTAGTGGGTAGTGCAGAGTGAATGCCACTCCTGATAGGCTAGAATGATGGACATTATGTCGTCATTGCCTCAGCATTCTGCATAGAACAGGAGACCCAGTCACCCACATAGCTCACTACGAAACAGGGTCATTGGATCAGCATCAACCCAATGTCTTGCTTTGTACCTGTTGATTCCCCACCATCGGAAGCCCTCTCATTTCTGACCAATCTCAGACACACAATGGTCCAGCCATGGCGTTTGAATGGGTCATTCCATTCTATCCACCCAATGAAGCTCTCTATGCTTGATCAAAGAGAGATGGCAGTGTGCTCTGAAACCTCATGACATCCGGCCTCTGGCACAAGCAGCCACTCCACCTCATGTGTGGCAGGAAGTTGTGGCTGGCATCCTCACAGTAGCAGAACCCTCTGGTTAATCCCCTCTTGCATTTCTTAGAAAAAGAATGAAGGCTTCCCATTCTTCCACCAGTAAACAGGGATATTGTCTCGTTGGGTCAAATAAAAGGTCCCTTGAATATTTGACCTATGCTTAAAATAATAATAAAAAGAAGAATTTGGCCTATACCTGCTTTTCCCTATTGCTAAGAAGGGAAAGAAATGAGAGCAGGTGATGGAGCTTTTAGATAGCATACAACAAGAGGGTGGGGTGGGTTTGACACAGAGACACTGCTATTGTTGTAGCCCAGTTCTTGGCCCAGTGACTGGCCCTCCAGCCTCTTCTAGGATGCTGCAGTCATAGCTGTATAGGGGCTGGCACCGTGGTCCAGGCACCTGTCAGGACTCCTGGACTGGTGGCAGCTTTTAATGCTCTGGAAAAAGGACATGGTTCCTTCACTCAGGATCCATGGCTGTGGCTGGTCAGTGAGTCCCTGCTAAAGTCCAGATTCTGCAATTTCAGCCAGCTGACTTAACAGCTGGGAGAATGGTGGCCGGTCTTCTGGTTTCTGGAGAGTAACAAAAAGATCTCTGTGAGTTCTTCATACCTGTGTGTCCTGGCTAAGTGCAAGGCAGACCCGAATCCAATAGCAGCATCTGCTCTAAAATCTTCCCACACCAGCTGTCTTAGAGGCAAGATGCCCTTACTGTCCATAATGGAAGGCCTGAGATCAGATGACCTAGTTTTAGAGTTTCAGCCTCTCCCCTTCCCCCTTTTAAAAATGGGGATCAAACCCAGAGCCTTGACACGTAACACGAGTTATATCCCTAGACACTTAAATCTCAACTCTCCCATTCGTTAGTTGTGTGATACTGGACAGATGACTAACCCTCTCTGAACATCAGTTTTGCCATCTGTAAAAAGGAGATAAAATACAATTCATAAGATTGCTTTGAGAATTAAATAAATCATGCATAAAACATATCCTAACATTATCATTAAGTAACAAAAAAGGAAACATTTATCTTTAAACCTCACACAGTACATGTGGGATATAAATGAGGAAAATATAAAACTCTGATAAATCAGAGATGACTAACAACACTAGTGCTGTTGTGTCTACTTTACAACTTCATCTACAGATTCAATGCAATGTGAACCAAACCTCCCAGCAAATGATTTTGTGGTGTCAATGAGCTGACTCTGAAACACATAAGGAAAGGCAAAAATCTCATCAGAGAACTAATATAATGAAGACAAAGACAAGCAGAGTTGGGGGACTGATTCATACCACCCAAATTCAGAGCTTACTCTAAAGTTACAGTATTTGTGATAGTGTGACATTGGTGAAAAGATAAACAATGGATCAGGGGTACAGAATAGAGGGCTGAAAAACAGACCCTGAACACAGCAAGCAGACAATGGAAAGAATTAGAGACAACAACAGTGCTGTAATGACACACCCCTGTAAGAACCAGCAATTTGAGTAACGGATCTTAGGCTGCTCACAAAAGTAGACCCTAGTCTATCATGAGCCTAAAGGTCAAAAGTGAAAGTGTAAGACAAGTGATTTGAAGAGGGACATGGGTGAAATGGGGGAGGAAACCTTGATTGGTAATGGGAAAGGCAGGTCAATAATAGGAAGAGTGACAGTGAATAAAACCAAGGATGTCTGGAAAAAGCCATCAGAAGTCATATTATTTATTTACCTAAAATTATATTCAATACATATAAGTCTCTGTGTATACATATATAGTTTAAAGGAAGTCATACCACTTGGGCTGAGAATACTCCCCTTATCCCCACCACGAGCAGTAGACTACCTAACAAAAACCCAAATACCAGGTATGAGAAACTCCCTATAGAATGGCTGGTTATGGCAGTCCAAGAGACTCTCCAAACAATATAAACTTTTTGTTGCCCTTGGTTGCCTCCCAGAGGTTGAAGGCAAGTGCTGATTGCTGAAGACATTGAGGAGCCAAGCTGGACCTGACTTGAAAGCCTCCTCTCTTAAGTCTAGCTTTCATTATATTGAAAGGTACTATGCAATCTTCCAATGGAAGGAAGCAACTGACAGTCCTACCAGGCTGTGATGCCTGTAAACCACAATGACTTTTAGCATGGCACAACAATCCTAAGGTTGCAATAGTGGCACTCATAACTTGGCAGTAACCACTGGCTCTCCTATTAGACTTAAAAGATTACTCAATAGGAGTGAAATAATGTCTGGTCCTGGAAACTTACCCAATTACATGGGGCCAGTGAGGTCATAGATCTTAGAGAAGAACCTACTATTGCCACTTTATCATACTAACTTAATTCCTAACTGCATTCTAAATATCTATCTTTATACCCTCAGATAAGTATAGCTTTCACTCCTCATAGAAACCAAAACCAGAACCATATTTTTGCAACAGATGGGGGCCATTACAGGAAACCATAAGTGGTCAAATGCAGGGAACAAGTGTATAGCCCCAACTAACACACCCATAACACAACTCAGGAACATTGTGGAGGGGGATCAATAAGAGTCAGAGGACCAGGAAATCTGTTACGAGATGGTGTCTCTTAGAAATGGCAGGGAAGCTTTACCCATGACACCTCAACAATATGGATGCTAAACAAGATCTGGGGAAGTCCAACACCAATAAACATGATGACATGGAAGGCAGAAATCTCACAGGACCCTACCCCTAGACTGGGAACCACAGGCAATTGAGGGATGCCAAGAGTGAGAGGAGTAGTCTTCCCCAGGAATGAATCCCATAAGTGGTTTTCCAAGACCAAGTGGTCATCCCTGAAATTTTACATATACTAGTAGCATTAAGTGGACTAAGTAGGTTTTGTTTGTATATCTATGCACACTTATGTGTGAGCATAGCAATCACAATTAAAAGAAGGCCATGATTTTGAGGGGGAGCAAATAAGGAGACATGGAAGGAACTGGAGGAAGGAAAGGGAAGGAGAAATATGATGTAATAACTTTTTAATTGAAAAATATAAAATTAATAAAATTAAATTTCCATGAGATCATCTAGAAGAGATCTGGGGCTTTGTGATAAGTTGTTAACTACAGCTTCAAAGGCAATTCATGGAAAAAAATGATGCTGAAACTGTTGTGTGATAATTTGTTTGTGTTCTGACAAATAAAACTTGCCTGGAGATCAGAGGGCCACTAGTTAACCATAGAAGTTGTGCGGTGGTGGCGCACACCTTAAACCCAGCACTTGGGAGGAAGAGATAGGAAGTGATAAGGTGGGGTGGAGACAGGATCTCACCCTTTTTGGATGAAGAAACAAGACAGACAGGAAGCAACTGGCGGCTGCTCCTGGTTCTCTGATCTTCCAGGTTTTTACCCTGATATTTGACTCCTGATTATTGATAAGAGTAATTAGATTAATGTTTCACTGAACTTTGTTAAAATTGGAAAGCTTCTGTAAGAGACACTATCAAGAGGGTCAGTGAAATGGTTCAGCAGGCAAAGGCACTTGCCACCAAGTCTGACAACCTGAGTTCAATCCTTGGGATCCACAGGTTCAACTCCAGAAAGTTGTCCTCTGTCCTGCATAGGCACATGCTAACAGTGTATGTCCCTTCCCCCATTCCTGTATACATATATACACAAAATAAGTAGAAAATTAATTTAAATGACATTAATAAGGACTGAAGATATGGTTCAAGGTTTAGGAGCACTTGCTGAGATCTGAGTTTGATTCTCAGCACCCACATAGCTGTTCACAATCATCTCTGCAGTCCCAGGGGATCTGATGCCCACTTCTGTCCTCTATGGAAACTGTATGCACATGGTGCCAGACACATGTGCAGGTGTATACATAAATATTTCAAATAAAAAATTACAGACATTATTAAGAGAATGAAAAATAAACTGAGACCGGGAGAAAATATTTGCAAAACATATAATGATAAGGAACCTTTTAAAAGCAAACACAGGAAATGAACAATCCTGTTGAATGTCGGGCAAAGGATCTGGGCAGGCATTTAATTTACAATATTAGAGGTGGGAAATAACTATGAAAGGTGCTCAAGCCATTAAAAAATGTCAATTCAGACAACAGGAAATACAATGCTACCCCTCCTCTGTAAGAAGGGTGGATGTCCAACATGACCAGTTCTGATGTATATAAGAAGTATCAGGACTGAGTTTGGTGTCACACATCTTTAATTTATTCCCTTAGAAGGCAGAAGAAGAGGCAGGTGGATCTCTGTGAGTTTAAGATCAGCTGGGTCTATATAGTGAGTTTCAGGACAGCAAGGGCTACATAGTACCAAACAAACAAAAAGCACCAGAAATAGTCATCACTGGTAAGACTTGCAAAAAGGACTTAGGAAGACAACCTGGCAGTGTTTCACAAAACTAAAATAGTCTTACTATTTGATCTAGTAACCACTCTTAGGCATTTACCTATAAGTGAAAATTTATGTCCCTACATAGATGCACACAAATGGATCCATTTACAGTAAACATTTATAGAAGATTTAGCATAATTACAGCATAGTTGCTGGAAACCGAAAACTACAAAGATTACCTTTAGTATACACATGAATAAACAAGCTATGGTATATCCATACAATGGAGTATTATTCAACAATAAGACATAAATGAACAATAAAAATCAAGAAAACACACAAAACAACATTAAATGCATATTGCTAGCAGAAAGAGGCTACTCTGAAAAGGCTACAACTGTATGATTCCAACCATGGTATCTTCTCAAAAGGCAAAACTATGGTGAAAGTAAAAGGATCAGTAGTTGCCAGGATTTGGAGAGTGAAGGCAGAGATGAACAGAAGCATAGGAGGTTTTTAGGACAGCGAAACCATTCTATTTGATCCTGTAATGGTAGGTATATGGCATTATGTTTGTCAAAAATCCATCGAACACGGCAGTACCAACAGTGAACCTTAGTGTAACCTATGAACTTTGGTCAACAACAATGTATCAGCAGGTGTTTCTTTAAAAATGTTTGAAATGAACCAAGTTCTTATAATATGCTAATAAGGCAAAGTAAACTGAGGTGGAAGGGAAATACTGGAACTACTTGTACTGTTTGCTCAGTTTTTCTAGATACACAGAATTCTAAGATCTGTTAGAAAAAAATAGAAGACATAGTTGAGGTGACTACTTCTTAGGGCAGCCCTCACCCACACTCTTGGGTGTGTCCTTCCTGAGAACCCTCTCCTCCATGTAAAATGTGTGCATAAGGTTCACATTCAAACTGTTTTTTAATGAATTCTGCCTAATGAAAATAGCCAAAAGAGGCTGGTGGTGACAGTGCACGCTTTTAACACCAGCACTCGTGAGGCAGAAGCCGGCAGATGGCTTGAGTTTGAAGCCAGCCTGGTCTACATAGTGAGTTCCAGGGCAGCCAGGGTTACACAGAGAAACCATGTCTCGAAACTGCCCCCAACAAAAACAGCCAGAAACCATTGCCTTGGTAAAGTGAAAGGAAACGTGGAGTTCGCATAGAGCTAGGAAACCAAAACAAGTCTTTGAGACTGGCATGGTGATAGAGAATTGCTGTGGGGAGTTGTAGAGCAAAGGGATGGTCCTCAAGACCTACCAGTTTGTAGGTAAAGGGCTGTTCCTACACATACATTCAATGTGAACTCCACACTTCAGAGTCGTTAAAGGGTTTCTAAATGTGTGGGTGTAATAGTGTTTTACCACCAATTGCCTTTGTTCCCAGTTACTGTAACAAGTATTTGATGATGGAAATTATTAATTTTGTTTATATCCAAATCATTAATTTTGTTTGCTTTTGTTGTATGTAATCAAATAAAATTTTAATGACATTCAGGGGTAAGAAGTAATGCATTGCTATTTGGACCAGAGGAAAGTGCCTTAGGAGACCAGCAACTTTTTTTAGTTGAGGCTAGTCTAAAAACTTTTGTTAGAGCAATATTCCGTTCTTGAATTCATTTTTTAATTTCTGAGATGCATAATTTGGGCATTTCTAATGTGTTATGCTTTTTTCTTCAACCTTGACTTAGTTGAAATCTTTAGAGGACTAGCTAAAACACCACTGGCATTATTTTTACAAAAATGAGTTGGAAACATTTCCATTTCTAGGCAGAATAGTCAGCACTTCTAAAAATATTTGAGCTCAAATATTGCACTCCTTTCAAGCTTTTATAAATTGGGTACTATACTGTATAGTTTTAATAATCTTAACTAAAACCCTTTAACAACTCTTTGTAAATTTTAACTCATTTTAGTTGATTTACAGTACTATTTACATAGAAATTGATTTTTATGAATACAGTAGAAGAAATGTGTGGTATTTTGATAAAATTCACTTGTGTGTGTTGTAATCTCTAAAACAAAGAATGACAGCTTCTTTAAAAAAATAGTTAAAAAAGAAAAATAGTCATTGCCAAATAAATATCAGCTACTATTATTCTTTTAGTATTCAAGATTTCTTTCAATGAATAGATTTGTTTTGTGTTCATGTTTATATCTTTTTTGTGGTTTTTCAAGACAGGGTTTCTCTGTGGCTTTGGAGGCTGTCCTGGAACTAGCTCTTGTAGACTAGGCTGGTCTCAAACTCACAGAGATCCGCCTGCCCCTGCCTCCCGAGTGCTGGGATTAAAGGCATGCGCCACCAACGCCCGGCTCATGTTTATATCTTTATTTCTTTGTTTCTGGTTATAAATTCTCTGTGGACTTATAGATTAAGCATTATTTAATTGTTTTGTAAGTCAAAGAAAGGAGGTTCAGAGGAAAAAAGAAGGTCCATGGTA